GTTAGATTGGTTACAACACATCAGCTGTGATCAGACCATTTAGGTACATCACCATTTTCTACACCTGGAACAACAAATCACCTGTTGTCATGACGAAGTTTAGTAAGAACTGTGACAGTGTAAGACAGAGATAGAAAACACTGATGGTTGCGAAGGGCAACATCTCTGTTTTTTGGGAGGTTAGCATCCAGTTCCAACAGACAAAAACCATCTCCTGTATTATCTTATGAATTTTGTTGGAATACATGTCGATAGACTCTTTATTCTTTATTATTATATAAGATCTTGAGTAATCTGGGTTACTTAATTGCATAAAGTTTATGTGAATGCACAATTTGAAAATGTATTTATTTTTCTATCTAATTGTATTTATTGGATTTTAAATAATTTAGTAACATCAATGTGGGCATGACACCAAAAACTTGTACTTATTTTCATTCTTCTTTTTCAAACTTCTCACAAACTTTCTAGATAAAAACAAACATCTGAAGATTAAAACATGAATATGGATAAGACCAGAATTGGGCGAATTTACCTCATTTATAGTATAAAATTGCATTTCTGTACATAATAATTGCACAAGGTTCACACCAAACATCTGGAAAATCACACATAAAGATGGAGACACATGAGTGGAAAAATGGTTTGTGGATCTAATTTGAGGGGTGCACTGCCTGACACTGCTCCTACAGGTCACAAACTGCCGGTAAACTACTCCGAGCACCCGTTACCTTATTCTGTCTGAGTTTGTTCATGACTTCGGTGAGAGCCGGGTATCCTCCCCGATATCTCCACAGGTGAACTAGAATAGAAGGAGCAGAAGAGCCAAAAATAATGCAGCTCTCGAATATATCTCGGTGTGTCTGCATTTCTTTGGTTAGAGATATATTTTTACATTAACAGCTGTAGTTTAATTATTGAATTTTTAATCTCTATAGAGCACCTGTGATCTAAGCTGACATGAGATCCAGTATATCAACCATGAATCTCTAATCAATTTCCAAAATCACATCATCTTACCACTTCAGTTACATCTGGTAAAATGTGAGTTTCTGGCTGAAAAACTTGTTATAAAATATTAACATAATTTAATAGATATTAGTCAATTCCAAAGTTCTTCCCACCAAGTAGAAAAAGCATTTACTGCTACTAGACACGAGATAGTATCAGCTAAACCTGATCAGTGCGAACAAACCCCACCACAATGCAGGAAAATAACACGCTGAATCCAGTGATCAAGATGAAAAATGAACAACTGAATAAAGAAATCAACTATGAAAAGTAATTTTACAGGACTGACCACAAAAACAGATAACTCTCTACAGTATGAAACAAAATCTCTCAGAGCATATTGTTTCCTAGTGCACACGTTGTGAATATATTTTATTCATGCAGCCTTTTAGATTATCTTTTACTGAGGCAGCCAATATCACTGCGCTGTAACATCAGAGGCAGATTACGACTGAGGAACGACAAATGTCACCACAAGGAGAAACTGGACCGCAGCCAGGAAAAGTGCAATACAGTTGCGGCTATATTTAACCACAATATGAAAGCTCTGGTTTGTGTAGCTGGAGAGGGGAGAAAATTGGCATAATACTTATGAAATGTCACTTTCTTAAGAGTCAAACATGGAGAAGAAATAAGCTTAAAAAATCTTCTAAACCTCAGTTTCCCATCAGCAGCAGCAAACTGAATCAGAGAGTTTTTATGCCGTTCAACTTTAAACTTTTATTTAATATAAAGTTATTGTCAATATTATCCTATTTGCCCTGATGCATGTAATTGTCTTATAAAGCCTCAACCTCAACCAGGAGGAAAGTGTCTTGTATGGCTGCAACGAAAAATAATTTCATTATCAATGAATCTGATGATTAGTTTTTTCCAACCAAATCTATGAATGTTTTAGTGTATAAAAATGCTTCCCTGAGCTTTAGGGTACATCTCTAAACTCTTCACTTTAAAGAACAGAAATATTTAATGGACATTAATACCGAGTAGAAAGAAGCAAGAAATCCTCTTTCTGAACAATCACTCATATATGACAGATTATTGTCAATTCATTCATCAATTGAACCTTTGAGCACTACTATATTGTCTGTGTTTTCTGAAAAAGAAGTGTATGTGATATTTAGACTACCTGATTGAATGGGCCAACAACCAATCAGTGAAATGCCATTCACAAGTAGCTTTATCACTTGCACATGTAAACCCTGCTGTTACCTGCTTGATCCTGCTCTCCGTACCACGTGTTCCAGGTTCCCACAAGCTCACAAGGGTATTCAGGGTCAGCGTGAATGGAAGGCAAGACACCCTCACTAAAGATAAACACATACAGTTGTGTATAAGAGCAAAAGATCTGCACTGCAACTTGACATCTGGATGAAGTCAATGAAGGAAGACGGACATCTTACCAAAGTTCATTGTAAGCATCAAGGCACTCAGGCTTGACATTATGAACTGCAAGGAGACGATAAAATATGAGCGGATAACACAACAGCTAATAGATTTATAATCTAAATATCATTACAGAAGAAAAAGATTATTTCAATGTGCCACCACAACACTCACAGCAAGTCACAAAAAACACATACACTGTATTTTGTACAGGTTGTTGTCTTCCTTCTTGGCAAGTAGATGAGAGTGAGCGTCTTTTCGGGGGTCAACCTTTCTAACAAACAGAGACTTGAACCAGCTGTCTTCACGGAAAGCTGAGAGGCTCCTGTGGTGAAACAAAACACAAAGGTTGGATACAACCGGCTGTTCTTCTGCAACACAATGGAGAAATACGAGACTAACAACAGAAAAAGCTGAGCAACAAGTGCAGCGTACAGTTGTGTTGCCTGTACTCGTCTGTAGTTCTGAGAGTCTCTAAAGCACGAAAACAGTTTGACTCCTCATTTAACTTCTTGGCCTGCTCACTGACTATATTCCAATCGGACATCTCGGGTCATCAGGTGGTGGTTTTATAACTGTATTTGTTGTAGTGAGATTGCATTCACTTATTCTCTGGAACAAACTATCTGATGACCTGAGATCTATTACACTTGTGTGCAAGTTCAAAAGCTAACTCGTCTTACCTTCTGCAGGTTATGACTACTTACTATATGCGTATGTCTGGGGTCTTTTACTGCCTTTTGCGGAATGGGTGTATTTTGTATTATATTCCTTATTCTGTTGCTAATGTTGCATCATTTTGTAGTTTATTTATTATATTGTTTTGTATAGAGCTAGACTGACACATCAGCAATTATAAGCTTATTAAAGATAAATCTGTATGGATTTCTAACACAATATGTCAGTATGTAAATCCCAATTATTTGTTTGAAGTCATTTAGAAACTGTGTCTAATTGAGGGTTTTTAAACATATCTAATGTCCCTGATATCAGCCTAATACATCCAGAATAAGCCAGGCTATACCTCTGTACATATCACTGGTTTGTGTAAAGCACACAGAGTTTACTTGTGATGAAATGTGCATATAAATAAAACTGCCTTGCACGTAGACTGAGGTGAGCGTAAATGCACAAGGTGGCATTGTATACTATCCAGCTCAGGGTCCAGCAGCAGAGGAGGCTGTAAGCTGTACATACTGCACATAATCAGAGGATTAGTTCACAAGGACTCATAAGCAGCCTTCCCTTATGAGTAGCATTTCATATTTAACTTAATTTAAAAGTGCCAAAAAGCCCTCCATGCACTGGTTACAGTTGTTTATCAGGAAGCAGTCCTCTTGACAGTTTGCCAGCTGGTGCAAACAAAACTATTATTTTGTTATGTGTATTCAGAAACTCTCACATTGTAAATAAACTTTATATACACCACAGCATTGCAGGAGTGAACGTATTAACATCACAGCTTGCTCTAGGTAGGACACACACACTTGCAGCAGCAAGCAACTCTGTCATCCACTAATCACAACAACAATGTTGACCTTGAAGTTGAATACAGTTTTTGGCACTGACAGGAACCCCGTTGAGATTTTGCATTATTTATGCTCATGGCAACTGTAACTCTGCACACAACATTATAAAGTGCGCGTTGATGAGTGCAAACACAAGTGGCACAACCACTTTCTAATTCGGCAGGGTAATAATTAGCATTAGCAAAAAGTTAGCAAGTTTGGAGCTATAGTGCTAATGCTAGCGACGTTATACAGAGATGTGTACGTAGCCAACGTCCTTACGTTAGCGTTAGCTTAGCCACCTAGCACACCGGAGTTTGTCATTGCTCTCAACTTCACCGGAAATAAACGCGTTAAAGTCGCATTTGTACGTCGCCGTTGGCAAATTCAATAAGCAAACCTCTAACCTGACGACAACCGTGACCTGAAGCCCACTTTTCGTCTGTTTAAGGCCTTTGCCCACTCTTTGAAGGACTCGGGTCGCCATCTTTCCCCTGAAAGCTGCTGTCAGTCTGAGGCTGTCTGACAGTCCGGTGGAGCTGTTCCCGGTGGAGCTGTTCCCGGTGGAGCTGTTCCCGGTGGAGCTGTTCCCGGTGCAGCTGTTCCCGGTGCAGCTGTTCCCGGTGGAGCTGACGTTACTTACAATAACATAACCCCGTATTAACTTTAAAACATCAATCTCGCTGCTGTTTTTATTATTATTATTATTATTATTATCGCGGGGTTTTAAACTTTTAACAACACACCTGAAAAACTAAACACAACCGACTAAGCTCTGGCTTTAACTTCTGTTTTCCTTCGACTTCTAAATATAACTTTTTTTGCTTCTAAATATAATAATAAATAAGTTACACTGGCCTCAACATAAAAGACTGACCTAAATACTGTTATATTTTAGATTTAGTGTGCACTCCAGCACACACATGCACATTTCAACTATCACACTTATGACAAAATACATCCTGTACTTAGTGTTAGTAAATAACAGCAAGTAAACCAGCGACTGACTCTAATAATGGTAATATTTAAACATGTAATGTCTTTTCAAACAAACAACTTTGGTCTGAAGGTATAATAAAACAGATATGAGCATCATGCAGACACCATGCAGTCATTTTATTGTGAAATCCTTTCTTTAAATGGGGTCTTGAATTCAAAACTACCTGAGCAGGTAGCAAACGTGTGTATTCAGGCTCTGAAGTGATTACTGGTTTATACATTTTTATATTTACATGAACACCTGAAACAGAAACGTCACATTTAAGCAACTTTTCTAATCAGAGAGTGGGCGTTTGTGCTGGCGGGGAGTCGTCTGCACCGGATGAGGCAGAGATGTTGAGCTCCTTCAGTTTGTCCGTTAACGTCATGTCGTCTTCCAGGCTGACTAGGAGGTCACTCAGAGGCTCCACATACTCGGCTCCGGCTACCCTCTTTCCCGTCAGTGGGTCAACCACCTGACCGACTTTATACACTATCTCAGACAGTTCGTGCTTCACGTGTTTGGACCTCGCCTGAGGCAGAGCCTTGAGTAGGACGACGTCTCCCACGGTGCACTGCTGCAAAGCATCATGGGCAAAGTAGGTCTTCCTCTTGTTGTAGTACTATAGAAGGAAGAGAAGACAATATAAGGCTTATTTAAATACATTGTCACTGTACACGAGTCATTCACCGATTCACTTCTACACAGTGAAGTTTATTATCACCTATACGAGGCTAATGTGAGAGAATTAATCATTTGTGCAGAATTTTACTGTCAAAATATGTTCAATTCAATTCAATTCAATTTTATTTGTATAGCGCCAATTCATAACAGAAGTTATCTCAGGACACTTTTCAAATAGAGCAGGTCTAGACCGAACTTCTTTCTTGGCTTTATTTAATGGTGATTTTAACAGATTATTGTGGCTTATTATTAAATATATAAATAGTTTTGCATTGGCATCAATACTAAAACTCAGAGAAATAGAAATAATCTTTTTGTTATTGACGGTGTTTGGTGTATGTAACATCCAGGTGTCCTTCCATCAGCAGTGAATGAACCCTGTTAAAACTTCACCTTGAGCAGGTACGGGTCCAACACCAGCCTTGTGACTCGCACTTTGGCAGTTTTGTGCATCTTGGTCCCGATTACTCTTCCGATGATCCATTTCGCATGAACTGATGCATGCTTGAGCGCAGACATCCTGGAAAATCTCTATCCAAACCCTGTAGTAACAGAAGAAAAACAATACTAACATGAGTCCTCAGGATTTATCTGACAGACGAGGATCAACTGAGTTCTCTTTTATAACCCAAATGTCTTATTTAACCGACCATCACACTTTAATCAATGCTGATTTTCGTCGGATCAATACAGTTATACAGCTACATTATGTTATTTATGTCCAATCGGTTCATAACAGAGGATGACATGAGGAGACAAACCGAGGCTATACACTTCGCATTGCTGCAGCTGACGTTTTAATTTCAGAAATAATCGTAAATACATCGACTTTATCTCAACATTACCACAGATTAACACTGAATACAGGACGCAAAGAAACAACTCACCCACACTACTTCACAGGAATTATTTCAGAAGGTCAAAAATTGTTCAGCGACACAGCTCCTCCATGCTGCTCGGGTCGGCTTGTTTTAATGACGTAAACTACGGCTACTCGCGAAGGACAGAGCGAACTTCTACTGCTGCTACTTCTACAATTTAGAGGCGCATACCGCCACCTACCGTACCGGAATATGTTTATACATATAATAATAATAATAATAATAATAATAATAATAATAATAAACATTATATTTATTAACTTATATGTATATAGACTCTTTCAAAAACGGGTTTACAAAGTGTTTTTACAGGGTAATATACACAAGACTATATACAAAATAAACAATACTAAACAATAAATAAGCCTATCTCACCCTTTGCTGTAAACTTACTCTCTCTTTATTGTATTTGATACAGTGCAGCAGTATTACATGTTCATTACATTTACCTAACCCAATAAAAATAATACAAATAAATGTCTTATTTAAACCAGTGCAATCAAATCTTAATCTAGATAAAAACTTTCTCTTCTCTTATATTTCTTCCTTTAACACTTTGTGCTCTGTTGCTCTTATGTTCTGCCCTTATTGTCTCCATCCCACCTTTTTTTAACCTTCCCCTTTCCCAAATGAAATGTCCATTATATTCCTCATATTTATTGATCTTTTAGCCACCCTCTCGGCAAATTCACTACCCCATCTATCCCAAATCCCAGAATTCTCTGAATATTGAAAAAAATCTAACATTAAATCTTCCCTAATGGACTGTAAACGACACACTACCAGTTAAACCTTTAATGTAATTTTCTTCTGCTTTATTGTTTATGTTCCAACCGAAACCAGTTCCCTTAAATCTATTATACTCCAAACAATCATTTAATACACTTTTAGTGAGGTTTTCATCTCCACATCTTCTCAGACGAATCCAATAAGCTAATACAATTTTATCCGTTCAGTACAGCGTCTCTTGGAGTTGCACCAACACAAAGTCAGACAGAGATCCGACAATGCATCTGTAATCAATTGCCAATCTCACCAAAGCCCTATAAATATCTATTAATGCTTTTTTATCTGCTCCCCATAGATATAACTCTCATTAGATCAATTACTTTTTTACATTTTGTTTCTAGTTTCTCAATATGAATCTTCCATGTACATCTTTCATCAAGTTATGTTCCCCAGTACTGAAACTCCTTCACTTTCTCCAACGGTTGCCCATAGAAATAAAGACCTTTTATAAAGTTTGTCTTTGTTTGTCTTCCTGGTGAAGAACATATAATAAACAATAATGTGCAATAAGCCGATTGCAAGTGCAATACCTGGTTCTACGTGCAATTGACTTCATTATTACATCATTCTTTGTGATTATCTAAAACTCATCAGCTCGTCAGTACATACTGTGGAATAGTTTTATATTCATGTTTAGATTTACATTTACTTTGTATATAGGCTCTTTTTATTCTTACTATATTTCTATTTCCATTTTTATTTTAACTTTTTACTATATTTTTATACCTATATATTAATTTCTATTCTATATCAAAGGCTTTTTCTATATCAAAGAAAACAACTGCCATCAGTTCTTTCATCTTCATTGTTTATGTATCTATATGAATCTATTCTGATATGAGGCTATCAGTCCTCTCTGTTGTAGGAAATAGTTAAGTCTTCAGCTCAAGATCTTTTCCATCTATTTACACAGATGTGACGTTAAGGCAATATGTCGATAAATCCCAGCATTATTTGGATCTTTCCCGGGTTTAGTAAAAGAGAATATAATTGTACTTTTGCAGCTTTTTGGCATCAATCCCTCTTTCCATATCTTATTAAACAGTTCGAGGATGATACTCAATACTTGACCAGGTAACTTATGAAACATCATAACTGAGTTGATCCTGTCCCGTTGCTGTATATCCAGTGCCACGTAATGCTATTTTCAACTTAATTCAGCTCAGCATTCAGAGTTGAGTCTTCATTATCTTTTTTCTTACTGTTTTTCTCTTGCTTGGTAACCACATTAATTATTTTACAATCGAAGGCTATGAAGCTTCTCTCATCTACCACCAATAAATCCTGTTTAACCTTGTTTTACCTTTCATTTATGGGAGCTGTGATCTGATTCTGCTGTATAATCGGAGCTCTAACGGTTCGGTCTTCTTGCTGCATCCTAATCCTACTTGTTCTCTGAGGTAAAGACCTAGAGTCATCACTCATCACCTCTTTGTACGTTACTGTGTTTTGCCTTTCATCATTTACTCTCTTTAAGGCTTTTGGTATGTTATGGATTACTTTGTACATATGTACCTCTTTTGACCCGTTTAATTAAAGTTAGAAAACATAAGTTGACATACAAACTTATGTAATATATTATGTTTTATGGTCACTGTGGAAATAAGTTATAATTAGTATTGTGAGGATGTCCAAGATGTTTTTATTTCAGCAAGAAAAGTAAATTTCCAAAACAAAATCAGTCTGTAAGATAAAATAAACAATATTTATGCTTTAATGCTGTAACTACAAGGTGTAAAAGTTTGTAGTTATGGTATGTTATAACTACCTTAAGTTAAGGTGTTGCCAAGTTAATTGTGCCTTAGTTTGAGCCAAGCCAAACAGTTTACTTTATTACCCATTCATCACTGCTTTATTATGCTGATGCTGTTGGCCTCACTGGTAAAAGATATCACTTTCTTTCTCCAATTTGCTTTCCTGAAATTTTCATTTTGGCCAGGAGATGGTAGCAAAGAAACATCACTTCTTAAACATGGAGGAAAACTTTAAAGCACTGAAAGAGAAGAGAAGAGAAGAGACCTAAAGACTTATTATTGCAACCGGACAGGTGTGATGGATTCTTGCCACGTTACAGCCTGTGTCATACTGACACTGAGCTGAAGATGATTCTCCTCACACAACCTGATGACACAAAGCTGACTGATGTAACGGGGGGTAGGACTGTAGATGAGAGGTGAAGGGATTTGAAAACATGTCATCCTTAAACACATCAAAACTCTTAATGGTGCAAAAACATTTAAAAAAGTAAAGCAAATGAGATAATCAAACAGAAGAGATGGAAACAAAGTTGAACAGATTTGACTTAATGCTGTTAAATAATCTATAAGCAAGAATGTGAGAAATATAATGTGGTAGTACAGAAGTTCAGAGTGGTTGCAGTGTTTTTTTAAGTCCTGTTATCTTAACATCCTGTCTAAATGTTCCTTGGAATAACAAACTCCTTTTCACCCTTTTTCGCCTAATATCTTGAGACAGTGAGATATTTTCTATCATATCTGATGATATCAGACCTAAGAGATGCCATTATTGATTAGTACTTCATCATGTGGGTTAACTAACACAGGCAGAAACTGTGTGTCTCTTTAGGACATAACATTAAATCAGTCATCCAAATTTAACACTATCAGGCTGCAACTTCACAAAGGAATGTATTTCAGTGATCTCGCTGACATTGTTAACTTCATGAGTACAATCTATGATGGATGCACATTATAACCAGAGAGCTGTGTATTCTAATAGGGCACTAGACTATAATAGCTGTAGACTAAGAGACGACAGCTATGCTAGCGAACCTTTGAGGCTTAGGCAGAGTAGCGCTTTAAGCCAAATGCTAATAATGCTCATAATAACAGCGTTAACATACTAATGTTTAAAGGACCAGTAGGAACTGTGCAACCAACAGAAATCTGGTTTGTCTGTTCTGGGCTGGAAAAATGGTGGCTTCGAAAGAAGAGGAGCCGCTTCCTCTGTTGATAAAAACTTATATATATATAAACTTATTTTCAGGTTATTATACAATACTTAAAACATGACATTATATTCCAGTTCTGTCAATAGATCCTCCTAAATGTTACCCACTGGACCTTTAACAGGTAATGTTTACCACGTTCACAGTTTAGTGTGTAGAAAAACAAAGAAAGTCTTTAGTTTTGCAGGTTTTTAATAATAAACCAAAGTATTGAAAAAAAATCACGTTTGATCAGATAGTGGCAATTTGAAATGATAAATCATCTTATCTTGTATATTTGTATAAAACAATATTCGTAACGAGACAACTGTCCTGTTATCTTGAAAAAAATGGCCATTTGTTTTCTGAACCAATTACAATGAGAAAATCTTTATCGGGACAGAAAAAATGCATCCTTTAACTTTCTTAGAGTTAAATATTGTCAATACTCTTGTGTCTTCTTTGACATTGATTTCTTTATGACGGATTTCTGTAAAAGGACCAAAAAAAGCCCACATCCATCCATTTGGCAATTATAGGGATATTCACTAAAGCAGATGTAAGTGACTGAAAGGAGGGAGAGATCGACATAGATGCATTCATACCACAGCGTTAACAGTCTTGTCCCTGAGTAGGAATTGGCTGTGGCACAGAACCAACCACAGGCAGACCAATCTGGTCTTAATCAGAGCCATGTTGTAGTAAAGCACAGGTCTGGGTCTCTGTTTCCCATTTAAGGCAGTGCAGCATTGGTATACCTCTGCCAGAATTACAGCATTAGCCAACTTTAGTCTCCTTCATACAAGAACTCTGAGACAATTCACATTACAAACTGTTTTTCATACTGTTCACTGTTAATCTTGTTGTCAAATAACGTAAAGCTAAACTGATGTCCAGCAGCTTTTCCACGGAGCAGAAATGCTAGGGACTATAAAATAGAAAGTCTGTTCTGAACTCTTATGATGTAAAGAAGGACAGAAACAGCTCCACTATAAGGTCTACCTCTTATCAGACCTGTGGGTTAGCCTACAGATCACATGGTATCAATAGCTATATTACAATATTTACCCAAAGATAATCACATAAAGACCTAATTGCAAATGCAGCCAATGTTTTTATATATGAGAGAGCTGACATGGTCAGTTATCAGCTCTGAATCATGTGAAAGCAAAGCTGCCCTGACATAAGACAGAGGCCTGATAGCACATAGCCCGTTTGATTACACATGTATGTTTTCTATGATAACATAGTGACCTCTTAATCATCAGCAAGTTTTATATTTTCAGATTAACATGCTGGAACAATGTTGGCCTCCATCCTCTTGTGTATGTTATTAGTCTCCAAATATGACATTTTTCAATAGATTAGACT